CACGATTTCAGCGTGTTTGGAATTTATCTCAGGTTACGTTGTAGACACGCTAGGTGAGTTGTTGGACCTCCTCTCACGATTTCAGCGTGGTTTAAGTGTCCCTTTCCTCACATGATTTCAGCGTGTTTGGAATTTATCTCAGGTTGCGTTGTAAATGCGCTGGGCGGGTTGTTGGACCTCCTCTCACGATTTCAGCGTGGTTTGAGTGTCCTTTTCCTCACGCGATTTCAGCGTGTTTGGAATTTATCTCAGTTTGTGTTGTAGACGCGCTGGGCAGGTTGTTGGACCTCCTCTCACGATTTCAGCGTGGTTTGAGTGTCCCTTTCCTCTCACGATTTCAACGTGTTTGGAATTTATCTCAGGTTGCGTTGTGTACACCTGGGCGGTTGTTTTCCAACCTCCTCTGACGATTTCAGCGTGGTTTGAGTGTCCTTTTCCTCACACGATTTGGCCTGTTTGGAATTTATCTCAGGTTGCGTTGTGTACGCACCTAGGCGGTTGTTTTCGAGCCTCTTCTCATGATTTCAGCGTGGCTACAGTATCCTTTTCCTCACACGATTTCATCGTGTTTGGAATTCATTTCAGGTTGCGTTGCGTATGCACCTAGGCGGTTGTTTTCAGGCCTCTTCTCATGATTTCAGCGTGGTTAGAGTGTCCCCTTCCTCACACGGTTTCAGCGTGTTTGGAATTTATCTCCGCTTGCGTGGAATGTGCTCCTGATTGGTTTTCTTTGTTCTTCCTCCTCTCATAATTCCAGCGTGGTTGGAGTGTGTTACCCCATTTGCATATATTGCTCTATCTGTTACATCCATAATTATCAAACCGGCTTTGCATAGCGTATAAGTCCAATTATCAAACCGGCTTCACACAGCGTATAAGTCCAATTATGAAACCGGCTTCGCGTAGCGTATAAGTCCAATTATCAAAATCTTCCTGCCTAACATTTTGCATTTTTGCCCCTGCCTGCAGGCACATCTCTTTGTTTATCTCGCTTGTTTGTCTAAGTCTTCGGCCATGTCAAAAATGGGTCGTCTCTGGGCTTTGACATTCACTTCCGTCACTTTTGACTTTCGAGTTCTGTCAAAGAGGGGCAACTGTAGACACTCCATTTTTGATCAACTTTAAGACTCCGATGTCATCGATTGAGCGCTCAGTGATGGTGCATGTTGTGCTCGTTCTGAGGTTTCGGAGTTTCGGCTGAGAGCCTTGCCCCCGAACCTCGGGACCCTTTTTTGCTTTACCTCAGTTTGCGAACCAGGTCTTGTTTTCTCTTTCCAAAAGGAGGGAGAGGTCTCGTAGACCATCTCTCAGTAGCCGTAGGCTACTTTTCGTGGTCGCAGACCACTGTTCCCATTTGGAGACCAGTTTCTGGTTTTCGGAGCCGTCGGCCGTGCGCCTCGGTTCGAGACTGCTTCACTTTCTCTGTTTGCTCCGATTTTTGGCACACGCCTTGTTTCCTCTCTATAGAGGGACACAATGGCTAAGGAGACCATCTTTGTGGTCGCACGCCACTTTCGATGCTTAACAGTTAGTTTTCGGGACACCCGGCTACGCGTTTTGGCCTGCGAACCCTCGTTTTGCATCCGTCTTGGTTCATTTTTGGCATGGACCCCATTTTCATTGTTTGGAAGGTGGTACTAGGGTGGGAGACCACCATTTCTTCTTGGAGACCACCTTTCTCTTCGCCGGCTATATGGAAGGTGGTACTAGGGTGGGAGACCACCATTTCTTCTTGGAGACCACCTTTCTCTTCGCCGGCCGATTTTCTTGATAGGAGGTTGGTCTCCTTGGATTTTGAGCCATATTTACTGCTCTCCTACCATACCACTAGCTTGTATTCAGTTGGGAGACCACCAAATGGGATGGCCGACCACCTTTCTTGGTGTTGACCCTTTTGAACTGACTGGCCGACCACCTGAACTGGTCGGTCCCTTTCCTCCTGTCTTGTCTTAGTGAGTTGATTCTAGCTGTGCCAGCTAGGAGGCACAGACTGGATCCTCTATACACGTGTATGGGGGGGTCTTCCACCTTTGTTTGAAGCTTCTTGGAGAAGCTTTGGACCTCTTTGGCTATAAAAGAGACCCTCTCCCTCATTAGCAAAGGTTCAGAGAAAATTGGTTAAGGCATACATATATCTATCTCTCTGTATCTCTCTATTTTGTGTTAAAAAGTCCCTTGTTCTTGGCCTATTGGATACCACCTCCTAGCCTAACCCCTCCACCATCACTCTAAACACCTTGGAGGCCATTTTCAGAGGTTGAAGGTTTGCTGTTTTGGTCCAGAAGCTGCTGGAGTTCTTGGCTACAAGGGTAACACACCTTTTCCACCTTTTTAGCTTTATTTTGCTTCAAGCATATTTGGGCTTTGTCATAAACTGAAAAAATTCTTGTTTTGAGGTCCTTAACATGTTTCTTTCAGACCATTTTTCTGTTGGGGGTCATCTACCCCCTTGTATGCTTCATTTCACCTTGTTTTGAGCCATGCATTAGGGCCTTTGCATTGACCTTTGTTTGGCCTTTTAGCCACTGAAATCCAGTGGATTTTTAGTGACTAGCATGTTGTTTTGAGCACCAAAATCAGAGAGGGGTGACCCTCACACCCTTTGTCTTGTTTATTAGCATATTTGCCCTAACAAAGGAGCCCTTATTTGCATGCTTCCAAGCCTTCTTTTAGGCCATTTTTAGTGGGTTGTAGGACCTGCATAGGCTCTGTCCAAAGCCCTTTTTTCCATTTTGGGTGTCCATCTTGCATGTGTAGAACAACTCTCTTTATAGCCTATCAAAGGAGCCTATCATTCTTGCATGCATAGACCATGTTTCAGTGGGTTTTTGGGCTTTAGTTGGCATGTCATACCTCTAAATTTTGCTCGTTTTATGGCCTCTTGATTACCTCACATGCTTGTAGTGCAAATCCTCTTTACTAGCTTACATTGCATGCTATTTTGGCCTTTGATTCTAGCACTTTTTGGCTATGCTTTAAACTGATTTTGGGCATGTTTTGGACTGCCTTAGCTTTGTTTTTATGCCACATGGTCGAACGATGCTTGCTATGCATGGTTGTAGTTCAATACCCTTGCCTAGCTTTGAGTTTTGGAGCCTATTGCATGCTTATGTTAACATGTTTCGATGTTTTAGGGCCATTGTGCATCATATTTTAGAGCTTACATGTATGCCATATTCCCATGTTTTCCACTCTTTAAATGCGTTTGAGAGTCATGCTTGTATGCCTCATTTTTGTACCATTACATGAGCTTATTTTCCATGCCTTTCGAGCCATCATTTTAGACCATTTCCCCACTTTATTGGACCTGCCTAGGGTCTGTTTGGGGTTGGTTTTTCCATTTGTGGGTGCAAACTCACTCTATTAGGCCTTGTTTGGTCACTTTTGTTGCCTCTTTGGTTAAGCTTTGGTCATCTTTGTATTTTGATCTCTTCACCACTGAAAATCAGTGTATTTTTAGTGTTAAAAAAGTCGGTTTGAAGTCTTGCATAGGGGAGGGACACCCCTCTCCCTTTATTGTCTTGTTTCCTTGAGTTGTGGCCCAAAAGGGTGACATGCATGCTTGCTTGGTTTTTGCTTCATTTCAGAACTTTTTGGGTGTTTTTAGGTCATGTGGGATCTCTGTTTTTTGCTGGACTTATGCCTCCTCGTATGCTTGTAATACTTGCTTTGTATTGCTCCATTTTGCTTAGAAGTGTATCTCATGATTAGGCCATGATTCTTGTGTGTGTTGGGTTGGTTCCATGAAGATGTTAGCACTTTTTTTTATGCTTAAAACCTGTTGGTTATCCATTTGGTCATGTTTGACATGTTTGATATGGTTGCCATGCATTTTGGCTTGTGAACCCTCAAGTACATGAATCACTAGCATGCCTTAGTTGATCCACTTTAATGAGTTGAAGTTGTTTGCCATGCTATTTTAGTCCAAGAATCATGTTTGCATGTGTGCATGCTTGACCTCTTTCATGCCTTGAGGGTGTACTCTCTTATGCCTAGGAATGAGCCTTAGTGCATATGCCTCTTGGGAGTCACTTTAGCTACCATATTAGGAAGGTTTGGAGTCTTATCTTGGTCTGCAAAATTCTGTTTCTACTTGTTTTGATGATGCCATGAGAGGTCATGTTGGTGGGAGTAAGTTGCCTCCTTTTTGTGCCTTAACTTTGGGACCATTAGCTTGCATGTTGGCATGAATTGTTGTCCATCATTTTGGGCACTTTTTGGTGCTGTCTTGGGGTGGACTAAGGACTGTCCCTTTATGATCCAAAGGCTCCATTGCATGCTTGTTTTATGTAAGTTGCATGATTGCTTCATCAAGCCTCATAGCATGCTAATCCCATTACCAAATTGGTCTATGTTTGCACCACATTTGCACCTTGCATGCTTGGCATTACACATTTGTCATGTTGGTTGCATAGTACTCGTTGTGCTTTACATTTTGGTACCTTGTTGCATTTTGAGCCTTGTGAGCATAACATGCATTGCATCATTTGGCTTGGGGTGTCAAGCCAAACATGAGGGTCAAGGGACATTCATACTCCAAGTGATGCAATGTACCTTGATTCTCGGTCACCGGGGCCTTTGACTTCGACATGATAAGGCTTCGGATCTCATTTTGTTTGTTGCATGCATCCTTACATTGAGTGGCGAATTTGATCCCTTGGGTCATCATGCTCCATTGATGGCTCAAAGATCGAAGGCCGTGCTTCTTTGAGTTTAAAACATGATAAGAAGCACAACCATGCCCACATGTACCTGAGAACCCCATGCCATGCACTGCCTGTTCTCTGTCTGCTGTCAAATTGTCTTCTGCAGGAAGTTTCTGCCGACCGGCAGAATTTAGTGCCGACCGGCAATATATGGAGTGCCGAGGAATCCAACAAGTGCCGATGGGAATTTTGGAAGTGCCGGTGGGAATTCTGTCCGGCCAGTGGTGCTCTGCAGGATGCAAGGAACCTATAGGGACCAAATTGACAAAAAAGCACGCACACTATGCAGCATTAAAAGTAATGCCAAATTCATAGCACACAAACTATAAACAAAAAAAATGTAAGTGACAAATCAGTAGAAAATCCTTGAACTATTGTGGCGAAAATATGAACAATACACTCAAGAGATGGTACCTCTAGCTGTGCAGCTGCCTCCTTATATTGCCGTTTTGAAGCCATCAGTTGAAGTTGTTCCACAGCAGAAACTGCCATAATACAAATAACGGATGCAGTAAAAATTTACAAACAGAGATATGTGAACTGGCCATTTCAGATATGTTCAAGGAACCAGTACCAAGCTGATTGTAGATCATTATAATGTCATAATATATTTCAATAACAGTTAAGGCACACATAAATTTCCAATCCCAAAATGGAGATTGTAACCTAGGGGAGGAGAAGTCGTGCATGTCACAAGACTTGAACCCTTGACCTTCCAATGAGGTGCGAGGGTTCTGGCCAACTAGGCTAAATTATTATTATTATCTTAATGTTGATCATGATTTTTTTTTAAATAAAAAATTGTAATTAATAAGCGCCCCCTCTAACTTAATTTCCTGGCTCCGCCACTGTTTCCAGTCAAGGCAAAACTTCCTTTGTTGCCTCTAATGATATGATTGTGAAATGGTGCATCCACAATTTGAATGATCTTTATTAAAATAGAAAAAAATGATGCAAGACGCATTTTATGTAGAGTGAGACTGAGTCATGCGTTTTCAAAGGACCAAGTACGGTTATCTAGTCAGTGCTTGGATCTCTATCCAGCCACATATTGAGCACATAATTTAGGCATATAGCAATAATATCATATATTATCAGATGAAAAAAACGCAATATATTATCAAAATATGTCGATAAAATTTATTAATAAAAATTCTTTGTTGCCAACCAAAAAATATATTGACATATAGCAATGCCAATTTTCCAATCCATACCTTACACATTTCTTTTTTTTGTATAGAAATGAATTCTAGATGCAGAGCATAGAAAAACAATAAAGGTATGGCATTTCACCTTGAGCACAACTTGGGTAATTGCGTAATCATGTTTAGGTTCAACCCTTTTAAGTCTTAAATTTGTGGTTTTCATGAGCAACATCCTGCTAGACAATTGTCTTTATATTTTATTAGGTTTTTAATAGTTAAGGCTATTTCATTAATTTTTGAATTGGCAGATATGGGTCGTAGTTTTCATCCATGTGTTTTAATATTGCTAAGTTATGTTTCTAGGTATTATATGTGGGTTTTATTAGGTCAATGATAACATTAATTAGTTAAAATTTTAGTTGAGGCAAAGATGGCTCTTTATACATTAGTGGCAAAAAAGGAATACAAAAAGGAAAAATTCAGTCATCCCCAACACTAAAGCGTTGGTTGAGCAACTCTCAAGACTTCTAGAGCTCAAGCCCCTGTCGAGCATTACTCAAGCACAACTTGCAGTAATTTGTGCGCTCAAGCGCCTATAGAGCAGGCCTCGTTGGAAAACCAAAGCTCTTGCCAAGCGCCCGTTGAGCGAACCTAGCAAGAGTTTCAGAGCTCAAGCACCTATCGAGTGGACCTTCCAAGAGTGTCAAAACTCAAGTGCTTGGCAAGCCTTGGTTAGGTAGGAGCCAAAAACTTCTAAAAACTCAATATTTTTTTCCCTTGAAAACTCAAATTTCAAAGTCCTATGATGGGTTGGTGCCTAAATATAAGTGTGGAGTGTTGTGCAAGGGCTCATACGAACATATACTGAGGGTAACAGAACCACAAACCTGCATCAACATCCTAGAAGGTTGATCACATTTTGAACTCCACCATACTCTTTCAATTACGAAGATACGAAGTCCAAATCCCCAGATTACAAATTCCAAAAGTTTTGTTCAACAGAAATAGCCAACCTAACTAAACCTATCCTAACAATAGCAATTCCAGAAGCTAGCCTACATCAAACAATGGGAGAGGAGAGGGGAGGGAGCAATTAACACAACTATCAGGTTTGTGGCGTACAACACAAATGTTTGACAAACGTAATTTAATACTTACGCAAAGTTCATCTTGTTTTGTCATGGAACCACTAATTTGTTAGTTTCCAGTTTTTGAAACAAAACTTCTCAGATAAACGAATGCTCATCACGCATTATTATAAATAATGATTAAGACATGAACTTGTCTTATAGTTAAAAATAAAGAACGAAGAAAATGACAATATTGATCACCTACAACACGATAACCTGTCCATCAATTAAGCAAACACTTTGCCGCATATGACAAGTTGTCAATCCAAAGAATCTTAAGGGGTTGGGAAACATGAAATAAAATTAATGTAAAATTCAACATTGCATGGAATCAGTTATGTCTTTTTATTTGATCCTATATACCAACGACAGAACACCTCCCTTTAAACCAGTTCCGAATTTTGAATCTGACAAGCTTGATTACAGTGAAAGTGCGGGAAACCACTGAAACTGACATTGTGTATATATATGTAATTTTTTATTTTTTATTTTTTGCTTATAACTGAAAATGTAAATATGTAAAATTATTCAACTCCTTGTGTTCATCGTTCTTGAAACGGAGTTGATAAAAGTCAAGGGTTCAACGTCGGATACAAAGAGAGAGAGAGAGAGAGAGAGAGAGAGAGAGAATACAGGAAAAAAAACCAACCTAGCATGGTAAGACGATGGAGAGCAGTGATTGTTGTTGTTATATGTTTTTTCGCAAAATCTAACTTCTTAATGTCACGGCATATTTTCTGAACCATTGTTTCACTTTGCTCAGCTTTGCTTTTTATTTCACGGATCTTATACATGAGTTCCTGCTTAACAAGAAAATAAATTAATTAATAGAACCCATACACATGTAAGAGATGCCATCAGTAGCATATAGAAGCTAAAACTACAATGATAGACTTTTCAAGATAAAGTTTTGGCGTTGCAAAAAAGGTAATGTTTCACAAAAAATGAAATGCCAAATTAATTCTGATAAACAAACCTCCACAGCACACGTAGCTGCAGCAAGATCCTCCTTGGCTTTCGTTCCTGAATTACTCTGGAATTACAATGGTTTACAGTCAAAGAACTTGTATCAAAAATAAATAAATTAATTAATTAAAAATAATGAAAAACAGAAAATAAATGCATGAAATGTGAAGTGGAATAGCAAGAGATCTTTGTTTTCATACTCTCCTATGTCTCAATGTACAAGATGAGACATAAACTATTACCACCTTCAGAACAAAACCAATCAAAATCATGCAAGCAGAGTGCACACAAATATAGATTATTAATGCCATTTCGTGTTGCAATGTTGAAGATTTTTTTCACTCAAAATCAATCCAATATGAGGATGACAATAGTAAAGCATGACTTAATTTATTTTTTGCATCTTCTCAGACCATTACCATCCATCCAACAATATTTGGCAAACTAGGGATGGTTGACAATGCTTTTACATTTTATCATCTGATAAATCTACAATTACCAGCAACAGCTTATAGGTGCATTAGCATTTGGAAGAGCCCATGGACAATTGATCAATATGATTGCCAGGATGAACCCAAATGTGATTCAATCATTTCACCGCCATGCATTATCTAACCATCCTCAAAATTTGTTCCATACTTGGATGACGGAAAGGGTTAACACCTTAGCTAGCTTTTGGATTTAGTAGATTCTGTGGAAATTTGAAGACACATAAAGCATAGTTTTTCCATACATCCAGTGTAAGAATTTACACACCTTTGGCGCCCTTTTTAATAAATTTATGACTCATCGGAAAAAACATATATACATGCATTTGATTCTATTTTCCTGCAACCTCTTCAATTTCCAAAAAAAAAATAATATCCTCTTTAAGTCTGAAACAACCACCAAATGGAATAAAATGTGACAAGGAACTTATAAAGGAGAGAGTGGTCTAAGTGTGTCTCTTATTAAGAAGAGAGTGGATTTACATTCAAAATTTGAAGTAGTTCTTACCTAACAAATATTATGGGGCCAAAAGACGAAAATAAAATGGTTAAAGGAGGGTGACAATAACCCCAAGTTGTTTCATTGGGTTGTAAATGGGAAAAATAAAAAGTTCATAAAAGATTGAAGATAGGGTTTGGAAGGGTTGTGGATAGAGAAGATCAACTAGTTAATGAGATTTTTTTTCCCTTTTATTCACCTTTGTATTCTTCTGTTGGGATTGATAGGCCAGGGATAAATGAATTAGAGTGGTTTCCAATTTTTGCAAATAGATCAACATAAGAAGAGGAAGTCAGAGTGTTTGAACGCGTGAGGAATAAGTCTATATAGCCAAAGTGGCAGGGTTATTGTGGTACCAATGCTTCCCTTATTTGTTTGATTCCTAAGAAGTATAGTTCCTTGTAGATTGGTGATTTTAAACCGATTAGTTTAGTTACATCTTTTTACAAGATTTTGGAGATAGATGGAGGAAGCGGATTTGTGGTTGTTTGCAGGGTTTTAACCATAAGCCGTTATGTATCGTATTAGATGATATGTAATGGGATTTTGGACTTCCAGTACTGTTATTCACCCATATATTGGTCAATATTGTCCGATATCGACCAATATATGACCGTATCGCCAATATTGATACATATCCCAATAATGTTACTTAAACCATGGTTGTTTGTCACCAATAATGGAGGGTGATCCTCTATCCCCTTTTCTATTCGTTTTAGTGGTTAATGTCTTGAGTATGGTGATTGACAGGGCTACGGATAGGGGTTTAGCAGATGCTTTTGTGGTTGAGATGACTATTACATTGATACTTGAAGAAAAAAAAATACAGTGTGCAGAGAGTATGACCTGTTGACGAATTGCTGCTAAAATTCTAGCATCTATGCGGCGAATCTCACTATGTATCTTTTGCATAAGTGGCTCCACACCAGACAAAGAGGCCTCTACATATTAACCATGTTTGATATTGTCAATTGTCAATTAAGTTAAAAGTACCAACTAAGAAGAAAGACATACCCTAAAAAGATTTATCATGAAGTTCAAAAATGCATATGCAAATCTGGAACAAGGCAAATGTCATTAAGAGTAGCACTGATATCAGTATCAGTTATGACTGACCCCAAAATGCTCTTCAAAATTCACGCTTACTTTCCATACCACCACTTCTCTTTATGCTTCATATTTTCAGCAATTCATTTAAAATTTTGTGAAAGTCGAAATTATTTCCCATTTATTCATATATAATTACTACAGTAAATGTTGTACTTGAAAAAACTTGGAATATCTTCCATTTCCATCTTCAACTATGACACACACACACACACATACACATATATATTATCGCATCTTTCATACTTTTGGTAAACCAAAAATATGCACATTACTAATTTCAAAAAAAAATTAATAGTATACAAAAGTTTGGGTTCATTTTCTGAATTTTTTTTAAATAATAAATTAATTTGACAAAAATAAACACCAAAAAGATATAACAAGTTTTTAAAAACTATTTGTCCCTAAAAATATATAAAATCATGTGAAAATGATGGGTATTTTTATTTTTCATTTTCTCCACCAAATTAGTTTTTAGTTTTTTTTTTTCAAAAAAAAAAAAAAGTTCAGAAAACTAGTTCTTAAAACCCAACCAAATAGATGCGGAATTAGTAGGGGGTTCGCAAGGATCATCGACATTGATTGACGAAATAATCTAGGAAAACAATTTACAATGAAAAGACCCGAAATGTGAAGATCTATTTAGCATATACACACTGATATTATAGAGATGGGGTAAATTGTTTAGAGATGACCTGTGGGGAACATCTGGTTGATGTAGTCCAAAGTACTCGATTTGTCCATTGCTCTTCAAACAAAACAAAATTCTACAATCTCTCTCTCGTTCCAAACTGAATCTAAAGACTCTGGTCTGAAGATGCCCTGGTTATAAACAGGGTTGGCCCTGAGTTCTCTAGGTCAACTCCTAAAATGAGGCACTTTCTACTTAATCACACACACAAATATATATATATATATATATGTAAGTAGATAAAATGATAAATACCTACAATTTTCTTATTTGTTATTGCCCATACAAAGTTTGCTTTCATATATAATCACTAAAACTATATATGAAGACTTATTGAGAACATATTAAGATATGAAAAAATTATTACAAAACTCAAAAATATAAAAATCTGGCTTGGTTGAAAAATTATAATTAATTATTTTACTTTTTCCCTCCTTTTTCTTTTTTCATATCCAAAACTATATTCTCTAGGTTTTTTCTTTTTTTGGTATCTACAACCACAATTTCGAAGAGGCAGGATTATATAAATTAGATTAGAGTGTTCTGGATTGTGAACTTGTGGTCAGATTAGTAGTAATCAGCTGTGTTACATGGACTCAGATACGGGTGTCGAGTGTATATCCAAAGGTCCGATCTATCAAACCTCAAATTGCAGACTCAATAAAAAATGATTATATTCTAAGTTTTTAATGCATTATGTTAGATAAAATGGCATTATATGTAACATACAATGTCAAGAAGACGTTTTACTCATTTTATAGCAATTATATCACTATATATAGTGTTCAATGCAAATATATAAGAAGTTTCCAATGGAAGAAGGGATCAGACGCATAACCCATACCCTTGTCCATGTGCCAAGTGTCTTAACATGGATATTTGATATATTTTGAAGAGTCCACATAACATTGGTAATCAGTAATGCAACAATGTGCAGAGTGAAGTTGTGTTTGCATTGTTTCCATTCAAAAATGAATATTGAACCTGAATAAATAAAAAACTAAGCAAAAAATAAAATTTGGTTTATGTCAATTTTACAAAACAAACACCATTGTTCATAGCACTCTAATTTATTTGGCAAAAGAGTACAAAATTATATTCAACCTATCCAATTACTTTTAAAAGAAAAAAAAAAAGAACCAATAAGCAGACATTAGATAGAATTGGGCATCCAGATTCGGTTAAACCCATTGTAATAAATTCATGTAAATACAATTCTTACAAATAGATTAAGCAAAAACCTCAAATAAAAAAAGATCGATTGAATCAATAATACAAATTACGGCATAGAGAAAGAAAACTCACCGGACAAGGAAGATCGCAATCGTTGTTCGTTGATCACTCCAGTCTTATAGCGATCTCGGTTTCGACCCGATCTTTGTTGTATTCCGGACTGGGGTTTGTGGTTTGATTATTGTTAATTATGTCTTTTCCCCTCATTTTCTGTTTGAGTTTGAGTTTTGGAGTGTCTTGGGCATGTTTGGAAAAGGTTGGTTGCTAGTCGGTCAATTGGTTGTTGTCTAGAAATTTGCTTCTTCGCTCGAGCGAGGCCTTTTGCGCTCGAGTGAGCTTTGTGAGCTTCCAGTACTTTTACAGGGCTGCAGAGATGCTGAGAGGGTATTGTTCTTCGCTCGAGCGAGGCTTCTTACGCTCGAGCGATGGTGTACGTCTGTAAAACTTCTAGGAGTATTCTGGGCTCGAGCGACTCTTCTTGCGCTCAAGCAAGGCCACTTATTGTGTCTGGTCGCTCGAGCGACAACTCTTGCGCTCGAGCGAGCCTCACGTATATCAGTTCGTAGCAGCACCTTTTTAGATCACTTTTTGATATCTTTTCTCACAAAAACCCTAGACCAGCTCTCTTTCTCTCTCTCGCTATCTATCTAAAATTTGACTTCTCTTTATAAATACACTAGGATATAAGGATCTGTATACCCTACTTGTAATAACCCCGACCCGCAATTAGCCATTAGTCAGTAATCAAGGATGTTAATTAAGCGGATAAAACAAATTATGGGATTATTATGGAATTTTACATGATCTTGGCCTCCTATCTGTTACGTGTAGAAATATCTGTGTGGATTTCGTTTTAAGACGTAAATTGAAAGCCTTATCGGCATCCGAAATCGAAATTGATTACATCAACGTGTTATTTGGAAATTTTAGAACACCATGGCAAATTTTCTTAAGAATTGATTCGGTTCGGTAAAATCACATGCGATTAAATTGAACATTGATGGGAACTAATTTGGATTTATTAAATTTCACGCTAACCTAAATAAATTAAGGGTACTTATGTTTGATTTAAATAATGCATGATTGGTACCTAATCTAATCCTATTAATGATCCAAGATGTGATTGAGTGTATGATGTGTTGGGGCATTTTGTGGTGTTGAGTGTAGGGGATTAAAACCCATGTGTGTGTGTTGGAAGTGTGCATGTGTGCGCACATGTATGGTGCTCAAAGTGAGGTGTGTGTTGTGTATATTCAGCTGAGTGAGGGGGTGTGGTAGGTTGCCTCTTTGGTCTCTTGTGTGAGAGAGAGAGTGTAACTAGAGAGTGAGAGAGTGAACTCTTGAGGTTGAAGAAGAAGAAGGAAATTAGGAGGACCATCTCTCATTGTTCGAAATCAAGAAGCTAGGTAAGAGTCTGGAGCCTATTCTTTTGTAGACAACCTTCCATGCATCTTGTACTAAGAAATTGGTGAATCAATTACTGGAATTTGAAGTGAAGTTGGGTTTTTGCGCAAGAAATGGCTTGTGTGCATGTTTATGGAGGATTATACCTTGTTCATTCGTGTCTTGGGTTTTTCTCTTGAAATCTTTGCATGCATGTAAGTTTTACTCATCATCTTCAAGAAATTATCATGTTTCATGTTTCAAAATTTCATGAGCTTATGGTTTTCATTGCATGTTTTGTAGAACAAAAGAAAGGAGTTTGAAAATCTTCCACGCATGAGCTTTGGAGTTCAAATTTGCTAAATCCATGAGTTTTGAGCTAAATGTTTGTGAGTGATCATGTAATTGTGTTTTAGAAAGGCCTTCCAAGTGTATTGATCAAGCTTTGCATGAGTATAGCCATTAAAATCACATTTTGAAGCTCAAACCCTATTTTGAAAAACCTAGAATTTTACAGTCTGCTCGAGCGAGGAAACCTGCGCTCGAGCAGAGAATGTGAGCTCTCAGTATTTTTTTTTTAGACATGAGCTCTCCGCTCGAACGACCACTTGGACGCTCGAGCGAACCCTTTGCATGTTGTTGATACGCTCAAGCGTGGGAGTTGTAGCTCGATCGTGGATTTCGACCAACCAGTACTTTTTCCAAGTTTGCAAGTCGCTCGAGCGAAGGAAGTCACGCTCGAGCGTCCCCTCTCATTTTTCATGTCCGCTCGAATGAGGAAGTCTACGCTCGAGCGGGGACCTTATTTTTAGAAAATTTTACCAAGTATTCCAAGGCATGTTTTGGCATCCTCATTGCATTTTAGGCATTCCTAAGCCTTAATTAAGCCATATTAAGGAGGTTATGGATTAGAAACACACTAAGGAATGAATGTACTAAGTTATGAGACTGCAAGTGTGTGTGTTTTAGGCAATGTGGTAAGAAAGAATAAGAACCAATGTAATGAAAGCTAAGCCTTAATGGCCACTTGAATGTGTAATGATAAGACATGCTTGTGTTAGGTATTTTGTGATTGTAGGTCAAGACTCGAGGATTGATTGACCGCTTACTGGAACCACTGTGAGTAACGTTATCGTAAAGATACGTTCATATGAATTATGTTCCAAATGAAATATGATAAGCTATGATTTCTGAAATGTCATCTGTTTACGTGAATGAACATTCCAAGTTTAAAATCTATTATGGCATCCATAGATAGTCCTAAGTCATGGGGGACGACATGAAAATGCGGGTCCATGACATACAAGTAATTACGAGATCTCGTTAGCCACTTCATTGTGGTGATGTGTGTTTAATCGGTATCCGGAACCGATTACTTTAGTCGGAAGACGTTCTGTGATGTGTTCTATGGGATGTACCATTATTATGTTCTGATATGAGAATGAATATGCTATGATCTGTTTCCGCTTATGATATGTTCGGATTTCGTTCACTAACCCCTTTACCTTAATGTTATTCACTGGGCTTTAGCCCACTGTTTGTATATATATGTATATAGGTGAGCATTCTGGAGTTCAAGCCCGAAAGCTTTCGTTTGGAACTGTGTTTCTGTTGTCAGCCAACCATTGCGCCTCACGTAGAGGTTCCCGAAGTGTCCTGTGTTCAGTCCTTTTGGTTCTGTATATGTATGAGACTGGATATGATTAAGTTGGCTGTACTTAAGATACTGTAATGTGTGTGGGTATAATGTATGGTTGACTATCGGATATATATATAAACTTTTAAATATTCTATTTCATATAAGTCAGCTCAACTCATTGGACAATTATATTTATGTATTTGCTTCCGCTAGCCCCTTTATTTTTGTTAATCTGTTCAGAGGCCTTCGGTAATTCAAGGATTACTGGCCGGTTACGATTCTAAACCTATAGGGGCAGGTTTGGGTCGTGATAGAGTGGTGTCAGAGCAGGAGTTATACCGCACACACGTGTCCATATGAGCTATAGGATGTCCTAGAAATGAAATAGGGACATTGCATTACCATGCTTAAGTGTATGAACTATTATGAACACGTCCTTAAGGAAAATGAATTGAAATGAAACCTTTGTGCATGATCAAAGAAGTTAAGTGAAATAACATGTAATGTTAATTTCAATACCGAATGTGGAATCTATGTGAACATGAACGTATGAAAGTAAAGGATCATGTGACTGTATTTGAATTGAAATGAAAGTATAAACGCGTCTGATATGAAGTGAAATGTGAGAACAGTGAAAACTTTCCTTATATTAATAAGTAACCTGTTTGTGTGTAGCCAATGGAAAGGACAAGGAATGTAGATGAATCTGAATCTTCTGACGCTAGAATTAGCCGGTTAGAAAGAATGGTTGAAGCCTTAACCGAAAATTTGAAACAACTGTAACAAGGGCAAATACATGTACCTGAACCAGCTAATTATGATATGATAACACTGACACAGAAATACAATAAGATGAAACCACCGGAATTTCAAGGGGTATTGAACCGTTAAAAGC